TTAACTAACACTAAATGATGGCCGAAGCAACTTCACCTTTTGGCATATACAAGTTTTTTATATATATATAAATTGTTGCAGGGGTGCAAGGTGTAGATGTTTTGACAAACTTGTCATTTCACATGAGGACTGACAGATAAGATGTAAGGGGAGGAGGAATAATAAGGAAGCTGGAGCAGCCTCCAGCAGCACTGATTTGAGTCTTGACCCTGACATCTTGTAAAGCTCCACCTTAAACAGAAAATACATTCACAGAAAAGCAGCTTAAAATAGCTGCGATCTCCTTCTCTGAGAAATGTTTTTCGACAGAGATGAGAAAATGAAAATTCTTCATGTCTGACCATGATGGACAAGAACAGTGAAAGTTCAGATGTGTTGAAAGAATTGAATAAGCTCCTGAGGAATATTTTTTAACAATGAAATCCAGCAGTACAGTTAGAAAGCCGCTGGATCCAAGATTGGAAATACCCAATCTAAAGCAAAGCCTGCCCAATCTCCTTTTCTTGTTTTTTTGCTTTCTTTTTTTCCCCCGATCAAAAATAAACATTTGTATTTCCGTCCGCAGAAATGTCAAGGGGATTTATGTGGTCCCTGCTTTGTCTCGCTGGCCTATTTAATGCTACAGTGCACACCCCTCACAATGTGAAATGAAAACATTTTTTTTCATGTTGCCAGCCTTATTCATTGCCAGTCAATCTGACAAGTGAATCAAGCTCAGATTCTTGCATAGTTCATCTTTAAAAATGCATTTTGATGTATCCTGTATAGAACCCTGGAAGGGACAAGCATGGAAAACTAGAGATATCGCTCTGTGGTTGTATGTGTCCGCCAACCAGTGCAGTTTCAATCGACATATTTCCCCTCGACTCATACGAGGTCACTGTGACCTTTGACATCTGACATCTGAAGTCAAGAAGCCAAAAACATGTTTTTCATGAAGCTACCTATGACCATCCAAATAGAATCAGTTAATCTGTGAGTCCAAAGGATTCTCTCAAGATGTTCTAAAGACAAAGAACGGTTTAACAAGGTAATTATGACTTTGACCAAATCAGTTCATCTTCCAGTCTCCACCAAATTTGGAGACATTTCCTAAAAGAGTTTTTGAGATATCATGTTCAAACACACAAACAAACCCTTGTCATTTTTAAAGAGTTGCCGGATTCAGTTTGGCTTTTTTTCTTACATTCCAGAGCACTCAAGTGGAGTCTGTGACGTCTGCCTGTTGGTTTTGGATGTGGCCTAATCTCCGGGATTTGAGTTTCAGGGTTCTGTGATTAAATTCTCGACGACAGTAAAGGTGGGATTTAGCAGAAACCCTGTGAATTTCACACAAAGGTAAACTTACAGTGAACCCACACACGTGACAACAAGCCACCATTCACCTTCATGTGACTCCATCTCCCTGTGGCCCTGCTCTGTCCTTCCCACTGATTTTTAGACTAATCCGAGCTAAATTTAAACTTTTGATATTGTCTTTTGTCAGCTTCTACCCCCTCAAACAGATTTATCTGAGAGCCTGAGTGAGGAAAGAATCTCTTCCGTCATATCTCTGCCTCTCTGCCTTGAAGGCCAAGAAACCAAGACAACAACTTGAATGCACTGACAAGAGGGGGAAAATATTTCCTCAATATGATTCGTTAATGTGCCCAAGCCACTGTGGATACACAAGTGGTTTAAGATCAGTCTAATCGTCCATTTATACTTGGAAGTCATCATAAGTCTTCAAACATCCATTTTAAATCTACTCCCAGTCATTTGAAGCTTTTATGAATATGACAGTCTGATATTAAGGCCTAACAGGAAGGAGAAATTATTATATAAAGCTAAAAGAGACTGATAGCATTACCAGCGCTGTGACTGCACTTCCCACAGATAGCAAATTTGCATCGCTGGAGGTTGTGTCAGGGGTCGCAGAACACTGACATTTCAAAACACAATGTATTAACACTGCAAACACAAGAGTGTCAGTAATAAAGGTTGTTAAAAGCTTGTTGAGCTGCGCAATCAAGACGCAGAAGAGTCACAGTAGAAGAAAGGAGTCGTTTACTCCAAAGCAGAAGTTCAGTGAGTGTGTGAAGCACATGAAAGCTTGGTTTGATCAAGAACAAAAAAATGTGAATTACATTTGAAAAGAAAGGTAAATATGCCCACTTACTCACATTTTTCACCACTCCACGCATAATTACTTGGGCTTAAGTGCGTCATACAAGAAAGCGGCAGCACCCTCATGAATCTCTCACTCAAAGGTGACTCAATTTTCACATGATAATGAGGAAATAAAGAAAAGCTGCAGGCGAACAAGATGACAACTGTGACATTTTCACACCACAATAAGTGTGCAGGGTAAAATCAGACAGCACTGAGGGTCGACGTAATGATGCTGACATATTCTCACTCCAAAGAAATTGTGAGACCTTGGTAATGGAAAAGTGACTCCAGTAAATGGTAAAAAATATAAAAAAGATGTTTGACCACAGTAAGATGAGAGACCAACCAAGGCTGAAGGTCCAAAAAGAAGTTTAGCTCATCTATCTTAGAGGATCCTCACGTATGTACACGACAGACGAGTCTATAACCCTATCTAAGTTATTGTATCTTAAAATTTGCATCACACTGCAAATCTTTTGCCTTTAATTCTACACACACACACACACACATTATATAAATACATATATATAAATATCTATAACAGATTACGTGACATGAAACATGGAGGTGCAACGTGTGTCATGCAACAAGGAACTAAGCTAAAGAAAAACACAGCAATTCTGGGTTTCAAGTATGGAAGAATAATAAAAACCATATCCATTTAAAACAAGGCCATTATTAATATTATATTATATTCCTGCCAATAGATCCTTTAAATCCAAATTACTTCTATATCAGAAATAGAAGGCTCAGCATTGGCATGACCCTCAGATGAGTTCAGAGACAGTCAGTGGAGATGTCAGGGCTGTTATTCACAGCAGAGTTGCTTATAATGGATTAACAGTTGAAAGATTCATTCAATCATTTCAATTAAAGACTTGGTGCTGTTGCAGCTTTTGACACAAGTTGCTGGGTTTGGCGGTCAGAGGAGTTTCAGGGAGAGGGTGCTGTAGTATCTCTGAAGGGCCATTTACTCTGAGGAGAAACCTCCCAAAACCCCCACGACACAGTTTCTCACCCAGGAAGTGTTAGAGGCAGTAATTCAGTGAAATGTGTGAAGTTAAAAGCGAGGAGAGAGAGTGGTAACTGTGAGGATGGAGGGGAGGGAGTGAGAGAGATGGACAGGAACCAGAAAGGTTGCTTTTAAGAGCTGAAATCATATCCATTGCTGCTGGTTACTGTCGCTTTGTCTCGGTAAAGAAGAGATTGAGATTGTACAAATTGCTCCTGTGTTCACTTATTTATAACTCTTTGTTCAATCAGGTTGGAGAAAAGAATAATAGATCCTGTAAGGTACAAGAAATTATTTCCGAAGCTGTATCTTATACTGGAAACGTATAAATCAGATGCTCACTGCTAAAGGTGAATAAATAATACAAACTGAGTGACACTGTCGCTCACTCTCAGACACACGTTTCTGTTTCTATTTTTACACCATCTATTACTTATTAAATGTGTATCAGTGCTGTGGCTTTAATTAAACATGTGGCTACAGTATTCCCCCCCGTGAAATATACAGTACATACGTGTGTATGTGCCATATCAAGTCTCGAGCTGAAGGAAGGAGTAAAAAATATAATTACTGGAGACTTAATAATTCAGGATATTTCTCAATGGGATTGAAACTGTGGTGAAAACAAGTGCACTGTCCTTTAAAATCCAGCCTCAGCTGTCACCTCAGTGGAATGTGACGAAGCTATAGTCTTCCTGTGAGGGTCCGACCCCTCTCTGTGACTGGATAGTAATGTACTGTATTTTTCTAAAGTACACTGCCACCGGGCAAACACACACACGAGCAGTAAAGGACACATACATGTGGAAAAGCTGCTCTAATTACAAAAACCCATAGAGTCGGAGCTCCCTCTAGGGGCAGGAGCAGACGTGTGTGCTGGACTCAAGCCTGACTGCTCCTCTGAGGAGTAAAGTCTAAGATAAGGAGTTTTCTTTTTTTCTCCCAGCTACAGATGTTGAAGTGATGCTGCTCACGATCAAGACAAATAAGAAGATGAACACTAATCGATATCAGAACTCTTTTCCCTCTACACCAAGTCATGTTTCTGCAAAACCTCAATCACTACTCAGCGCTATTATACATGGAAACATGTTCCGAGGCAAATGTATTTCACCAAAGGTTAAGTATGACAAGTATTTGCAACACAACAAGGTTTAATAGTGCTGCGCATAATAACACTTTGCTTCTACGACTCTATGAAAATGCAGATTTATCATTTTTAATTGATGTACTTGTCAGTAATGTGATGTCGCCTGTTACAGTGCACTGTAGCTGTGCTTAGGTGTGGATCTGAGTGGGTGGAGGGATAACAAATATCCAGGCTTTCTAGGAGAACAGAAGGGGAGGGGGGGTTTCATGAGTAACTTTGAGTGGGTGGGTGGAAGGCTTATAGGTAGGCGAGAGCGTAACCAGGTTTTATTTGACAGAAGTAGGTATATAGGATGGTATAATGTGTATTTGTAGTGTTGTGATTGTGTGTACACAGCCTGTTTGCGTGTGTTTCTCTTGCGTGTGTGCTTGTGTTGTGCCTATTTACAGTTGTCTCCCGGCAAATGAGAAGCTCCGTCGGTGACCCTGAGTCGCTCCAGCCTGCTCATCACTCTCTTTCCCATCTGGTTGAACTCACGCCTGTGGGTCGCCAGCTTCTGAAGCTCCCTCTGGTGCCTTCGACAGAGCAATTTAACATCACCGGTGGAAGAAGTGCACAGATTCAGCAGTGGATAGAAAGACTGGTAGAACAGAGCTTCTATGCCACATCCAAAGATGTAATTCTACTATAGATTTGACATTAGTTTTAAAAACCTTAAAATGTAATAAATTCCCACAAGAAATATGATTTCAAAAAATAACAGTCATTTATTACGACACATTTTTGATTGTAATACATGACACCCATTAACTTACAATAAAACAACATATCAATAACAAAAGTAGCATCGTGCAGTGTGTTCCAGTTGAAAGGAAGCTAATGTTTGAAAGAACTCACTACGGACATTCATTATGTTCACGTTTGGTTTGTCCTGAGTACTTCCACTCCGAAAAACTAAAAGTACAACATATTTATTGCCCACTCCAACTTCCACTATCTGCAGTGTGCTGAACAGTATTCATCCTTTTTATTGCACAGGAAAAGCTTCAGGTAAACAAACATTCTCCCTAAAAGCTCAATGTTATCTCTCGTATCTTCATTGTGAACATATGAATAATCTTTGTCTCAGTCACGTAGACGTCATGCCAGTGGACTCACTGTACCTGGCTGTTGCTCCAGCAGTGAGGTTGCCATGGGAGACCAGGGCCTCTCTGGATAAAAACTGCGCTCTGATCATCTCTGGTGTCAGTTGGAATCCTGAGTATTCACACCTGAACACAGATAAACACAGATAATGTGAGCATCAGGGCGTCGCTCTTACTCGAGAGGAGAGAGAAAAAGCTCACAATGTGAACATCGATAGTGTCAGTGGTGTGGGGTGTGCTTACGGTTTATCCATTAGCGGTGTCAAATCGTCAGGAAGTGCAGTGAGCGGAGGAGGCCCTGTAAGGGGAAGTATGTCTGTGTTGTAGTCGACGGACCTATAAGAGACACACACACAGCTTTATCCCCCTGAAGAACCAGACCACACATTACCAAATCGAGATAATGGTCAGATACGTGCTCCGTCTTACTTAGATGAAAGCTCGGCTCAGGGTTGTTTGAAATCTCAGTTTGAAGAGGAATGATAAAAATACTCCAGAGCATAAGCCGATACCACTTACAGGCAAAATAGTCTTAAAACACTTGACAAGCCACAGGTCTGCTTTTGGAGGCAGCCCTCCTCTGAGCTGTGGCGTCATTATGAAAGGACACTTAATAATGGCAGGTCTCCACCAACTCCTGAGAGAAACATCTGGCTCTTTAGCAGCTCAATGCTTCATTTTGTTCTCCATCCAGTTGCTACCTGGGTGTGTGCTGTTTGGTGCTGAGCAACTATAACACACTGCAAAGCTCTGTGTGGTCGAGGGAAGCAGCAGATTCAGCTTAAAAATTCTCAGTGAGATCTTCGATATGAGCCGAGACCTGTCACAATACTGTGGTCACATATACGTATCTAATATTGGGACCTTGACTCTGCAAAGTTCGACCTTATGGGAACCAGCTCCTGGGGGTTGGAGTCGTCTATGCTGTAAAACAGTGCAGGAGCATTTTACCCAAACTGTTTTTTATTTGCAGTTTTATGAGTTTGTGCGGTTCACAGCGGTACAGCTGTAAAATAATTAGACTCTGCACCTGCAGAGTTGCTGTTTGTTGCCAATTTAGACACAGCCGTCCTTTTAATCATTCACATGCTGTAGAAGGAAATCATCTCTCTTAATCCTGCTGTCAAGTTTGTTCTCATCTGCTATCATGGTCACCAGACATAAATCCTGTTGCTTGTGTTGCTAAGATAACCAGAGACACTGTGGATGTAACCGGTGAGGCAATGATAGAACATTAATGAGACTGAGCAGGGAGGCTGAAGGAGAGTCATCTCTTGCACGAACAAACAACAGTTATGCTGCAGATCAGGGCTGACAGGCATAAAGAGAATATTTTTCCACAGCAGGCACCTGATTATGTAAGATAGGTAAGGTGAGGAGAGATGGGAAGTAGACAGGAGGGTGGGGAGAGAAGGTGCGGTCCAACCCACACATTCACAAGTAAATCATGTGAATGGTGGTTGTCCAAATTACTTGGACTTCCTGTCAAAAATGACTCAACTGGCCAGAAATTCTACAAGACAAAATACAATATACATGAGATTATGTTCTGGAAAGGGTCAGGAACACAAAGTGTAATGGACACCTGACTTTAATTCATTGTGACAGGGTGCAGAGGGGAACATGAAGTGCCCCACAAATGGACCACGTCAGCCCCATGCTGCGTTCACTATTACACTACATCAAAATATCATAATTTATTCACTGTCCATTTAAGATAAAGACTGAATAAATCATTATTTCACAGTGTAAGTGAAGACTGAGTGGAGCTCTTTGGCTCCATGTGGCCGAGACTCTCAGGTGTGGGAGCAGTGGTGGCCTAGTGGTTCGAAAAGACACATCAGACTGGAAGGTTGCTGGTTTGAGTCCGTGGACTGACAAAACTTCCTGAACAGTAGGATGGACCAGACCTGCTAGAGCATGGTGCATGTAGTGCTGTGTGTGCATGATTGTGGGATAATAAAGGAATCGTAATCTTACTTATAGAAAAGAAAAACATGAATACCTGTTTAACCAAATTATAGATTACTGCAGTAACATGAGCTCATCACTTCAACCCACAACTACTGAAATGTCATGTGTACTGCAAACAAGACATAAAAGTGATTTGTCAGGTCAATGGTTGAAAAAACCTGACAAAATGGATCTCAGCACTGAAGATTGATTTTAGGAAAGTGCAACCTCTACATTATCAGAGGAAAACTGCTGAATATAGAAATCACACTGTGTGTACAGTATTCTATCTTTATTAGCCCCGTGGTATTCAGGATAAAAGCAGTCGATTTTAAACCAAATTGAATCAGAACCATCAAGTGAAATCAAACATCTTGTCAAGGTCATAATAGACTGAAGGAATATGTGTGGGGACAGAAATGACAGCTTTACATTATATTGCTGAAGCCAGAGGGGGAGGGTTCTTAACCATGAATTAGATTCATATTCACATTTGATATATTTCATGAAAATAGGATTTTCTGACAGTGACTTCTGAAGCAGCAGTTTCGCAACTAGAAGGTCATGAGTTCAAATTCTTCAGTGAGCTGGAAAATATGGGCTGCAAACAAAAGTAGTTTCTAGTCTGTAAACAGCTACTGTAAACATGTACTAGTACTGCTTCATCCCACAACACTCCAGTTGGAGTAAATGCACATGATGGTGGGTTTAACATGGAAACCTCCGTGTGAAGATACCATTAAAATACTGAGTGACTGCTCTCAATATTCAGTCAGTCTTGTTGCATTGTTCAGCAAAAAAAAGGAAAAGCAGCAAAACCTCTTGATATCAAAAGGTGGTATTAAAGTCTATTTCACCAGTAAAGAGGCCGGCAGGTAAAAGGCTATTCACCACACAGCTCACATTATAATATAATATTAGATAACCTGCCACTTTATTCATTCAAGCAAAGCACAAACCTATTTCAGCTCTGACCTACCTGCGCAGGGCACAGCTGCCGGTGGACGGACAGTTGAAGTTCATCGAATCAAAATTCTTCCATGTCATAATCCCTTCTATCACTTCCTGTTGTTGGTGAAGAAGAAATAAAGTAATGTGAGATCTTTGAGATTCACTTTTTTAATGACAGAGGCAAAGAAAGTAGAAAATGTTTCTGATGAAAAAGGTTATAACCAGGTTCAAGTAACTAAAAGCTTTCCAAAGAAATTCACACAATAAAATTACCTTGCGGTCCATTAACTCGTTCTGAGTGTGCAGAGATGGTGGTCTGGAGCCACACATGTTGCTCTCAGGGACGATGTACCTGCGTAGGAAAAGCACTCTTGTTTTGAAGTTCAGCAGAAAAATGGTAAATGGACCGGGGAGGACTGTTCTTACCTGGGCAGAGGGCAGAGGTGGAACTCCAGATCACTCTCCAGGTATTTAGGGGTCAGTTTGTAAGTCTGCAGGCCTGGAGCTGGGTTCTATAACGATATATTATCACTGTGAAAAGTGGAATGTATCATGTAGGGAGAGAGGGAGAATACATGAAATAATGAGAAACCTTACAAAGATTCTGAGAGGGTTGGCTGGAAAAGGTCTGAGCAGAGCTTCAGGAGCAGTGAAGCTGAGACTGACGGCATTGTTTGTTTCAATATCCTCTTCTTTCTCAGGCTGTGACGACACAATGAGAGACAGTTTGAAAGGCAATCACAGAGAAAATGTATAGATATATAAAATGTTACCTCCAAGAAATAATGGACCATAAGAGGTGTGTAGTAAATAAAATACAATTTTCTATGATACTAGGTAATTCCGTATATGATTGAGTGCAGGCGCTGTACAGTTACCGGAGCTCCACTGCGAAGTGGTCTGGCCAAAGTCGAGGGTGTATAAGAGTTGAAAGCCTCCCAGGTTGAGACAGGCCGGTAGCCCTTCAGCTTATAGTGCTGAGGAACCTTGAATGACAAATAAATAAAGGAATAATAGGTTTAGAGAAACAGTGGAACATTCGAACAAATGAGACGAACGTGGTCTTGGGCTGAGTAACAGACAGAGCAGAGCTGTACTCTGCATGGAAATTATTATATAAATCTTTTGTAATGTCACTGCGACAGAATTCGTTCCTCCATCCACAAACACTAAATCACTCACAAACTCCATTAGCATGATATTGTTTTTCCAGCTTTTAGCAAATATATAACTTGCTTTTAACATTTTAAAGACATTTAAAGAGTTTGTTTTAGTGTTAACTGTATAACAACAATAAATACATTTTGAATGTATTTATTAATTATGGGATTTTCTATTACCTTGGCCCACATATATGGAAAACGTGGAAATGATTCCTATGTTGTTGTCATCTCTCCCATATGACAAGGAAATGTAAGTGAGGCTTGATGTTTTAAAGTTTCCTCATAAAACTTATTATAAATAAATATAACTAAAAAGTAAACACATGTACAACCAAACATATACAACCTGAATAATGAAAATAGTAATGGAAACGTAAACAACGATAAATGGCTAATTTATCCTGTAAAATAATCTGTGTATCGACAAACATTAACACCAATAACAGCAGATCATGGGGTTGGACCCCTCCAAAGGGTCATAAAATAAATCTGGGGGATTGTAGAATGACAAATATTTATAAGTCCAGTATTCTCTACCTTTTGTTCAGGTCTACAAGCCAAACAGACTGAAAAAGACTAAAACGATCACATAGTTCCATCTGAAACGTAGGTGAGTGGGAGTAAAAAGTGGATCGACAAAGTACAAGTGGTATGTAATATGTTTACTTCCCCCCACTGTTGCAGGGAAGATACATGTTGATCTGTAAGTGATGTTGAGCTGAGCAGGTGCTGCAGCGGATACCTACTTGAAGCTTGAAGAAAGGAATATGTGTTGTCACCCTCCCATCAATAGCAGCCACAGGCACTGTGACCAAATTACTTTGAGCCTGCGGATATCAACGAGACAAATGGTGTTATTTGTTCAGTTGAACGCAGAGGCGTCCTCTCTGCAGGGCTACGGGGAATTGCAAGATTTAATCTAAGTGCAGGAAACTGAGCTTCCTCTTTGATTCCACAGTTAGATCAAACAGACGTCTTGCAAGGGAAATAATGAATAAAGATTGCTTTGTGTGGCAGGACAACAGCCGACACTCATTTTACAGTTGTGTCGCATCTTCTATGCAGCAGCTGCCGTTTAGGTAATTAAGGAATAATCAAACTTAACTCTTCTTCTGTTCTTTTACATTATTGGGCAGGTATACTTCAAACACGACTAACAACTTCTGTGTATTTTTACATTTTTTACGTTACGTTAACATACTCACCAGAGGGTCACCTTCATCAGAGAAAATGGGAAAAGAAAATGGGAAGACTCTGTCCGGTGAGATCTTCATATCAATCGTCTTCTCTTCAGCTGAAGTAAACAGATGAAAATCGTTATTCGTTGAGGTCAGTGAAAGTTTGTTTAAAGTCAAATTAAATGCCACCATAAATAGCCATGCTCCTGAGGATATATGCATATACGTTCCCAGAGCCTCATAATAACCTGAGGGGATTTCATTTCAATTTTACCTTGGGAATAAATTCAATGAAGCGTGCTTTGCTTATGTGGCAGAATGAGATTATTTGTGAATGTGGAAATCATTGGATAATCAAAACCTTTCTGTGCCGCGGGCAGGTGCCTCATGTCGTTCACCAGCTTCCGGAAACACGCCAGTCTCCGGTTGATGCGGCACCGGATCACAACCTGTGAGAAAGCAGGACAGCATGGCGCCGCTTAACAGAGAGTTTCTAGTATTAGAATTAATGCTTTTAACAAAACTTTAGAGTTTTCTTTTCTCCATTATGATCTATCACAATTTTATAGTAAAAATAGGAATAATACAAAATATCTCTGCAGTTTATTGTGTCAGTGTTTACTTGAAGCAAACTTTCCAGATTTTTTTAAATGAATAATTCTGATGAGGTCAAGATTACCGGAACCGTGTACTTCATTTCCATGCAGCAGGATTAATATCATCAGCTGGTCAAACAACTCACACACTCTCTCGGTTATTACAGCAAACACAGCGCTCCTGAATGACATGTGTTATAATTGTTTTGTCAAATCTGGCATTAGAACCTTGTTTTATGCCCAAATATTTACAGTCAAGAGATGTGCTCCAGTTATATTTAATTTAGTTTTCTAACGTTTTCCACATGAAAATAGGCTTCGTTCTATATGTATGTATATGATGAGTGCTGTCTTTCCCACAGCCACAAATGAATCACATCCTATTATGTCAACTCATTGTTCTGCAGTAGCACCGATACAGTAAACCAGATGAATGCTTTTTTTGTGGCTTTAAAAAGGCCTCGCGAGAATACTGTGCTTTTACTGAAAACTACACCCCGGAATATCGACTGTACTGTAAAGACTATTATACATGAGTGTGAGGAGTTTACACATGGCTGGACTAAAGGGACAGGGCCTGTGGGACACTAGTCCCTCTACGGAGGGAAGAGAGAGAGAATGTGCCTATGTGTCAGCTATCTCAAAAGCAAAGCAAATGCTAATGCATGTGTGCCACAGTACATACACCTCAGTGACTTTACAGTGCTTGGTTGCATGTACCTTGCGTGCAGCCTGCTGGAACAGTTGGAGGGCTCTTTGTCTCTGCTCCCACTGGAAACCAGAGGACAACTGGAAGGATGGGGCTCCCTCTGGGGCCTGGAGGAGGTTAGAGAGACAGTTACTCCTGAATTTCCTGTGTTCATTCGACACCGTTACATTTTAAGCACAAATGAAGAGGGCCATAAAGTTAAATTTCAAATTTACAATAATTAAATACAAGTATCTTAAGGATGAATAGAATATTGTGATCACTGTGTTTGCAGCGAAGATGTTTGGATTAAGATTATGATGTGGAGAAAAAGAAAAACACACAAAATCCTCTTACAACATGTATAATTACTGTGGCGATGATGGAAACCTCAATGAAATGTTAGTTAAATGTTCATGTGGGGAGTTATTCATTTTCATGTTTCCAGCAAAGCTGCTTAGGAGTATTAGGGCCATATTAAAGAAAACTATTTTTGAGAGTCAGAATATTACAATTACTAAAAGGCGTAATATCATGAAATAAGACTCGAGAGAATTAAGTGGTATTACGATAATTTAAATAGCCCTGATACTCCTACACAAAGCAGAGTCCAATACTAAAGCTATTGTGTTAAAGTCAACAATCAAATGTAGAGATTTACCTGTCCAGCTTCACGCAGCACACGAGTGGAGGAAAGTTTGGTTTGTCCAGATAGGAACTCCTCCTCTTGCCATACATCTCCCCATTTTACCTGCAACACAGCGCAAATACATAACACACTGTACTGCATGTTATTTCCAGAAGACACTGAGAGTCTGTAGTTTTACACACCAGCTAAATGATAACACAAGCATGCTAACATTCAACATTCTGTTTGTCACGGGAGGAAATGTGACGGGATACGTCTTCACTCTCACAATCGAGCAACTGCTACTAATCATTTGGAGCAGGGTCTCATTTGTGCGACCTTGTCACAAATTACAAACATTTTCAATCTGATGAAAAAACAGAGGAAGGAGGTTTATCAGTCGGCTTATGTAACTGAAGACGACATATAGTAGAGGACAGTAGCTCTTACTGTCATAAAAACCCCAGAGTTCCCATAAAACACCAAAGTGTGGTGATATGAGGTTGTAAACTATGTGCGAGTGTGTGTGTACACAACTTATAAACAAAGCCGGTGGAGAGGAGATGAGGGAGGAAGCACTGTAAAGTGTCTGTGAGAGTTCTGTCGACTTTTCTGAGGACGCTCAGGATCATATTTCTAAGCTGATGTTACTTTGGCTGAGTCAGCGTCTCAGTCACAGATGCACAGGGATTTATTTCAAATGGTCGAACTTAGTTTGGTGCCAGCAATGCACCAGATGAAGCAGGTAAGGACACTGGTATGCATATTGTAAACAAACTTTGAAAACAAGGTTCGAATAAATGGGCCACAACTTAGCAACCTCAACACCAAAGAACCATAAAGTTTCTCTATATCAACACCGAGCTGCTTTTAGACGAGCACGCACGTGTGGCAGACAAAGATATCAGCTTGGAAACACAACAAGATTCAAGAGCTTCTTACAATGAGGTCCAATGCTTGTGTCAATATGCCCTAAACAATGTCCTGCCTCCTGCTGCTCTACCCAGACGCCATCCCTCACCTGAATGTTCCGGACATTTTCCTGTTGTTGTCAACGAGTCTGACCTGGACAATGTCCTGCTGAGTTCTTTGTATGTGAAACTCTGTGTGCTGACCCAATGCTCCTGACATTTTGTAGAATTCACGCCTGAAGACGGCCAGAGAGAAAAGTCTTACCGTGTATTCATGCAGCGCCATCTCTCTCTCCTCCAGTATCTGTCTCCTGCTTTGCTCTGACACGGGGTCCCTACCCAGGTGAACTTGCCTGAGAAGAAGAGGGTGTATTGAAATAACCCCAGCAGAACAGAAGAGGAGAGAAGAATCAGTCAGGAAGGAGAAGGAGAGAGCAACTGTCACATCACATGGAAAACCGTTTCCTTTGTCTCGCTTCTGCCTTCGCACCTGTTGTCACTTTGATTTGCACCAGGTGAAATTGATGTGCAATCACTTGAGCTTCCTGAATGGACAGATTGATTTGTCTTTAAACAGTTTATATATATATATATATATATATATATATGTTTATAGTAAGAAACTGCTTGTATGTATTCTTCTATATATGTCTCTATATTGCTGATCCTATTTTATCTTCAGCTTGTCCCTGTTCTACAGTGGTTTTAAAGTCTATTTTATAGCAAAGGTTGTGCATCCATCCAAACATTCACAAGTAATAAAAGTGAAATGTTATATCTACCATCTGAGGAGGTTGGCTTGCTCCTCCTTCACGTTTTGTTGAACCTTTTTCACAAAGAGCGCCTCCTTCATCTGCTTGTTTTGCAGACCGCTGCTGCCACACGACATGGCTGAAAATAACAATTGATGTATGAGGTGTACTTTTCTGTACGTGCAATCTTACTTCATTGCAGCTGATAAAAGAACATAGCGTGAGTCTACTGTAATCATTCATTTATAACATTCAGCAACAGGTTTGAGATGATAGGTGTGTCACAGACAAATAAAAGAGTAGTGGGTTGCATCTACCTTCCTTCAGGGCTATAGAGCTGAGTTTATTGGTGTTTTGGATCAACATCTTTGCGACGCCTGCAGGGGTAGAGACGTCCACCGCCGGTTTCAGTGTAGACAGATCTCTCAGTGACTGGAGGGCAGATGAAGCAAACCAGTAAGAAATGAAAGATAATTCATCGAGATGACAGGTATTACAACTACAGTGAATATGATGTTTAAAATAAAGTACCACAAAAATTGAACTAATCTCAAATGAAGTATATTTTTCTTGTTTCCTTTGTGAAAGAAAGTGAAAATCAATCAAATTCACACACTTCCTAAAGCATCCAACACCTGCTACGTTTCTGTATTTCCACTTAGGCTTTCAGATAAATGATGTGATTGATGTGTCGGCACTGAAACAAGTTACCCTCCACTACTACCAACACACTAACCTTAGATTTGTCAGCCTCCTTGGTCGACCTGTACTTGGTTTTACTTAGAGGAGGCACCTGGGCAACAGGTGAGCGGCCTTTGTGTTCTGGAAGCGCTGCGTCTCCATGAGCCAACTTTCTCTCCAGCCGACTATCATGCAGAGGAATGCATAATTAAAAGTTAACAAGATGGAGTGACACAAGATTTGACACGATGTTATATCCCTTATTTTAAAGTTAATGGGGGTTTTTTCAAACTAATTGAGATTGCAAAGTCCAAAATGGTAGAAAAGCCTGTTTTTATAGGACCAGACAATAAAAACTCACTGGAGATAAGAGCAATCAGTGTGAGAAGTACCTCAAATGACAGAAGGTCCATGTACCATCCATTAATATGGAGTAGGCAGAGTTTATGACCTATACTGCAGCCAGCCACTGGGAGGCCATCAAGACCCTTTGGCTTCACTTTTGGGGAGCAGTCATATTGTCCGTGTTTATATACAGTCCAATGTTTTACTGGTTAGCTAAAGGTACTGGAAATAATGATCTCTATATTCTGGTTGGAATATTATTTAAAACAGCTTCTATAAATCCCAGATAAATCAGTCAGGGGAGACTCAGCAACAAGTGGGTGTTGGCCACTAGTTCAAGCTGGAAAAACATATATTTCATAATCTTTCTCTTCCACTAAGCTCATCTTTTATTTGGTATCACTGCGGGGAACAACAAACAGAGGGAGAATGTTTTATATGCTAAACATCCATCGGGTGGCATATCCATCTTGATATCACTTCTCCAGCTACCCTGCTATTTTCATGAATTATTAACTTCTGGTCGAGATAACGCCAAGACAGTGGAGTGGATGGAGCTGTGTGATGGATAGCCCCCTGTTTCTCATGGGAACAGAATTAAGCATCGAGTTTTATACCAGCTGAAAAAAACAAAAGGGAACTTCTAATCAGCACACAAGGCAATTTTCTCTGGCTCCAGTTGGGTGTTTTTAGCCCAAATACGTTTGGTTGTTTGCACACAACCTGTGAGGTGGAATTATGGAAGAGCAGAGGTGAAGGGGAAGGTTTTACTTCATTATTCCTCTTTACTCTCATGAAAACTCAGAGAAGCAACACAGAAACGAGCTACACACAGACACACACATATATATATATATATAATCTGGTATCTAGGAAAATGAGGATCAAGAGAAACACAAAAAATAGATGTGTTTCTGTTAGAGTTACAAGATTTTAACACAGTTCTCTTTTTGTTTTATATGTTTCTAGTGGCTCCTGATCACTTCTCATTACTATAGACGTGATAATGATATCTGCTATTTGTGCACCTAGAATGCAACACAGTTAATCCCTGAAACTATTCCTTAAAGTGAGAAGAAATCTTTGCCTTTTCATCTGAACTGTGAAGTGCTGTGATCACCTGAGGGCTGAGTGAGGGGCTGCGCTCCCAGTGATGGTGCAGAGGTTCGGTTTGCTGTTGAACTGTGAGATGACCAGCTGGATGGTGACCTCAGAGGTCTCATAACGAAGCGGACTGAAGGTCACTGTGAGCTTCACCTCACCACCGGCTGGTATCACACCTGCAGGAACACAAAACAACAGGGATGAACGGTTGTGTGGATTTGTTTTGTCCATTTAAACGTTGGGTGAGTGTGATATTTACTGCAACAAAACAATAAAATGTTAAATCAGCGTGTGACTGTATGCTTCAGTGTTGTGAGCTGCAGAACTGCCATGTTTTTTGTGTGTATATAAAGACTAATAATAATCTAAAAGCAGAAACTCATTTGTATCTCTTCTTCTCATTGCGGGTTTGTGCTGCAGCTGTAATTCAGATCTTAAGTGCCTGTTCCGCTGTGTGTTATGATGCTTCCCAGACCTTGATGTCAGTGAGTGGAAACTGGACGCATCCTTCAAGCTCCGTGGTGACTTATTTCATACACAATGCATTGCTGTGCGAGGTTTTGAGAAAACACAGATCACCCAAACTCTCCGAATGGGATGTGATCTTAATCTGGTGGTTTAAAATAGTACTCTCACTGGAAAAACAACTTTGTTTATCTATTTATACCCTGACAGGCAAACTCAGAGAAAATAAAGGGTAAAATAGCAGAATATCTTTAAAGGAAATATACAAATAAGTAAGTACGGCAATAAAAAGACGTTTATAATGTTAAATTGAATGATTGGCTCGTGCCTTACCTGTGAGGGGATGGATGGAGAAGGCCTCGTGGGGCTGAATAACAAACACTTGAAACTCGAAGTCAATGGGACAGCTGCATCTCAGTGGAATCACTCGGGTTACACTGGAGATGATTGGAGAGAAAAAAAATAGAGATGATTTTTTTATGATTTGTCACCAACAGGCGAATGGATGGTTGGTTGGTTGTTGGGAAGAATACAAAGAGACAGGAAAGCCCTGAGGCAGATGGGAGGTCAAAAACAGTCCACTGTGGATCTCAACACACACACACACACCTTTGACCAAGTGGTACGGCTGACAGGTGGATATGAGGAGGGATGTGCAGGTCATCGATGACGGGGTAAGCATGAACTGGAATTAAAAGGTTCTCTTCCCCCTTGGTAAGTGTGCAGGCAGGTTGGTGGAACAAGATGGAGATAACACAAGAAAGAAGAAATTGAAGAAGCACAGAAATAATAACTGAATGTTACAGGATAGAGCTTTAGTTGGTGGCTGTGTCTTTTCAGGAAGCGTTGACGTCCTTTGTTGATCTGTTTTTTAATTGCACAAACAGCTGGATCCTAACCTTGCAATGAACCCGGACGCAGTCGTAGAAGTAACGCCACTCGTTGGGACAGAACCTGACCTTCAGCGTGTAGGAGAGACCCGGGATGAGTCGATACTTCAGAGGAAAACACGTGAAACATGGTTGAATCGTCACAAACGAACATCTCATGGCACTAGTGCACAAGTATTTATCAAGACGTAATCTTATATTCAGGTCAATGATTTGGAATGAAAAGAAGAAAATACCTTTTTGGTGTAAGTACTTTGGAAGTAGCTGGTCTTAGTGGGGAGGATATGAATATTCAGAACTTCAGATGAGACGTTGATTAGTTTCTGAGGGGGAGGAGGAGACGAGAACATTTGATTTTCAATCCAATCATGTGCGTTTGAGAAAACCTTTTCCATTTTACCAAAGCTTACATCCAGCAGGAGAAAAATAAATAATTGGGACTTAGGTATTTGTGTTCTATATACGAACTTGATCTTAGGCAAATACTTTAATACACCACACTGAAGAGGAATTAATATGCTGAATAAGGGAATGACAAATAAAGCTCACAGGCAGTAAATGAGCGTTCTAGTTTAGAATGGAAAATTAAAGAGACTAATCGTTAAAAAACAGAGGAAATGAAAACTTCAGTAGTATTTCTCCTCACCAGATTCTTTACGTAATCTTTCCCGAGCTCGAAGCCACTGAAGTGAAGCTCTGGAGGCTCAGCTTCGATCAGGCTGTTGCTTTTCAGTTTGGCATAGATTTCTATTAGGGAAACAACAGAGACAAATTACTGACATTAAATAGTTAGTTTTTTTTCATAATAGAAAACAGGCTTATTCACATCAGGAAAGATGTTTATGAAACATCTAGAAAATCTGAAAAATCCGTGTAAATTTGTACTTGATTCCAGCAGATGATTGGGGACTCTGCTCCGGCTCTCCTCCACCAGCTGGCTCAGGGGCAGCGGGGTCCCCCTCCTCAGGGGCTCCGGGAGCGTCTGCGGGCCGGAGAGGGCCACGTCCATCTGGGCAGAAGAAGAGGTCGGCTCCGGGTCCTCATGGGAGAGACGACCGAGGAAAAAGGAGGAATAGAATTATGGGAAACCATAAAAAATTGTTTTTTTGAAAATAAAAGGATTTGGGAAGTCAATTTGCATTATTAATTATTATTATTATTATTATTTAGTTAATGGTGGTGCTGTTGACACACAATCACACACACACACACAACCCTGACAGCAGCATGGAAGCTAACAGCTAAGATAACACAAGATAATATTAGCTTCCTTGTGTTAGCTTAATTAAAAGCGGCAGTTTAACTGGAGTTAACGTGGACCTGTTTTGTTATCATCTCCTGAATTAAACAGAAAATCTGTTTGAGCATCTCAACAACTTACTGGTGTTTCCGGCGGGCGATAGTTTGGTGTTTTAATCGGTTTTATTTCCGCATTAGCAGTTTCTTCCTTTAGCCACTTTCACTTCAAACACTGTCGTTGTCATGGTGACTTCTGAAGCTCTGAGGGCGGGACCAACCGTCCTGTGGGTGAACGCGATTGGTCAGCGGCAAGTTCTGTCAAACTCAATCGGCTTCAGCAAAATAAGACTTCACCGCTTCCTGTTTGACCTTCAAAGTAAAAACAGAATGACCAGTAGATTGTGTTTTTTTATCGCGTGTTGTTTGTTTGCACAATTGAAATATATTAATTAACATTAACCTGCTGCAGTTGTTTTGATAAATGTGCTTTTTGTTCTCGCATCAATGCACATTCACCTGTCCCCACCTGAGCAGATGAATTATTTTGAAAGTGAGGACAGGATGCTCCCCTTTAATCTACCCTGATAATAATAATTTAAAAAAAAGAAGCTCCATCACATAGTGCTGCAGAAAACCGTGCAGGTCTCACCTGTGTCCGCTTCATGGCAGGATGCTTGTCCTCCAGCTCTCCAGCTTGATGTAGGAGGAAAGAGGAGTCTGTGGGACACAATGAAGAAAGTTGGACTTATTGGAGCGTTGCTTCTGCCACAGGTGAGAAAACACACACACACACACACACACACACACACACACACACACACAATGGAGCTGATCCAGGAAATGAAATGAATGTTTGAATCAACTTTCTGGTTTTTCACAGGCAACGTCATCATCAGGTTGTCATCCTCATGTCAATCTAGTGAGAGAGGAGGAGAAGTGCATGAGAGATGTGCTTCTTTACGATTCACACCGAGCAACAGGTGAGTTTTTAAATTTGTATATGTTCTCGTATAAATAACTGGATTCCTGCTGAATGGAAAGTTGCATTGAGAAAATGGAGAAATGTATGAATGAGTGTTTCACTTTTTTGAGCTGCAGAAATGTGATGCGGTATGTTAGTGGCGCCTAGTGGCCGTATGACGTAACGCACCTAGACAGCACTCTTTAGAAATAGGTGTTTTATGTTGAAAGCATCAAGTTTTGATTTCTCCTGCATTAAAAAACAAGAAATTTGAGCCACAATGTGCGTTTTATTCTTATTTACAATTTGTTTCCATTATTGTTTTATCTACTTCCTCATTTAAAATTGAAAATAAGGATAAAACGAGTGATTTCTGTTCCGTCTAAGGAGAAAACAACATCAGCATGCACTGTGAAGGAATGTGGGATCATCTGAACTGCTGGCCTCCTGCTTCTCTTGGGGAAACCGTCTCTCAACCATGTCCAGAGTTTTTCAATTCAGAAGGTGGCACACGCACGCACACACACACACACACACACACACACACACACACACACTGTGTATACAACATCATACTGGTTAATTATTTCCAAGGGAACTCATTTGTTTTTGAGACACCTTCTCACACTCTGGGTCTTTATCCAAACACATAAAGTGCTCGTGTACACAGTGACACTGACTAACACATTCAAGTGCTTCGTTTACTTTGGGACAAGCACAATGATTGATTACTGCTTTTGCTGTATTGCTGCTTCTCAGGGACGGTGCATCGCAACTGCACCGCTGGCGGCTGGACGGACCCGCTCGTCCCACATGAAGACGCATGTGGCTACACCTTCAATGAGACGCTCCACTTTCTGGGAGAGGTTGGTGTTTTTCTAGCCTTACTACCTCTCTGCCTTCGGGCTGAACCTCTAAGAGCATCGTTCTCTTTTTGTTTGTTCAGTCCACAGATTCCCATCTGTACTTCTCCTATGTGAAGACCATGTACACAGCTGGATACACACTCTCCCTCATCTCCCTCACCATCGCCATCGCCATCTTCTGTCTGTTTAGGTACCAACTTCAACCTCAGTGTCTTCAGTGCTGTTTGTGTGTATATCAGCAGGATCACGCAAAAACGAATACACCAATTTTTTAAAACCTGGTGGGAGGGTGGGACACAGGCTGAGGAAGAAACCATTAACTTTTAGAGCGGATTGGAACAAGGAGGCACTTTCTTTAACATTGTGAGCTCGAGCATTGTTTGACATTTTGCTCGTGTTTTATATAAACAGCAGAACATGTCTGTGTATGTTGTACGTTTATAATAATCTGAAACCTGTTCAGGAAGCTGCACTGCACCAGGAACTACATCCACATCCAGCTCTTCATCTCCTTCATCCTGAGGGCCATCTTCATCTTCATCAGAGACACTCTGCTGTTTACTAATGAAGAGCTCTACCACTGCGACTACTACCCGGTATGAGGAGATGACTCACTGTTAAAACTTCTTCTATTCTTGCCTCGTGGAGCTGATGAATGTCCAGGCGCTCGCTCACCTTCTGTCTCCTAACAGGTGGCGTGTAAGGTCGTCCTGATGTTCTCCAACTACTCCATCCTGGCCAACTACAGCTGGCTGCTGGTGGAGGGCCACTTCCTCTTCACGCTGGTGAGCCGCTCCTTCTTCTCGCTGAAGAAACACCTGGTCTGGTACATCGTCCTGAGCTGGGGTACGGACACAAGAGGAAACACTTTTTCAATACAGCACATACAGACTGTGGGTGTTTAGACTTGACCCAGATGTTTGTGATCACAAAGGTTTACCAGTGGTTGTTATTGTCTCCTGGGGCTGTGCCAAGTATTTCTATGAAGACGAAGGGTAAAGAGAAAATCTGTCTATCCATTTATTTTATCACGTGAATCATTGCTCATGATTTTACAGTTTTGTTCTTATTTCTTTACAGCTGTTGGGAAACAAGGAGCCATGAGTGGATTTGGTGGATACTTCGAGTGCCTGTTCTTCTGACTATATCTGTAAAACGTTTCTCTCTATTCCTTCAATTACATCATTTAAAACCTGACATTTTATAAAACACACAACAACCATCGTGTTCTCACAGGTTTTCATCATTTCAGATGAATCTCATCTTCTTTCTGGGGATTCTGAGGATTCTGGTGAGCAAGCTGAGGATGCCAGACGCTCAGAGGAATGAATTCAGTCAGTATAAGTGAGTGTAGCGATTAAACAGGTAAAAGTTACAGGAACAGAGGTGGATACATGCACATCATACTGTAGAGACCTTCCCTTTAGATATCCAACTGTTTTAAGCCACAACAAGAAGTTTGCAACTATGTCAGAGATGCATGAGCACATTGTCTCTTATCTGACAGCTGAGAATTCATTGTATTTACATCATTACTGATGAGGGACAATGTTTCCCTCCTCTTCCACCAGGAGACTGATAAAGTCCACGTTCTTCCTGGTGGCTCTGTTCGGTCTGCATTACATCCTGTTTGTCTTCTTACCTGTGGAGGTCAGCAGCCTGATGTTTAAGATCTGGACCTTTGCCGAGCTGGCTCTGTCATCCACACAGGTACACGAGCTGCAACAGTTCACTCACAGTGATGAGAGAATCAAATACACTAATGACGCCTGTCTGTGCCTCCACATCTCTAAGGGGTTTGTGGTCGCTGTGCTTTATTGCTTCAGGAACGGAGAGGTAAGAAACTGTGAAAAGTTCCTGAATGAAATGTGGGTTTTGAATAATGTGCAGCAACCTGGCGATGTGTTTAAAATTCCAGGTGCAGCATGAGATTCAGAGGAGGTGGAGGAGGTGGAGGCTCACTCGGCTCCTGCCCGCTCGGCCCAGGCAGCATCACGGCTCCATGAGCCACAGCGCATCCCCACACACCCAGGTCACCCTGCTGCCTTGCTCTCCAGGCAGCCCGGCCACTGCAGGGCTCCCGCTCGACACAGTGGAGATGTGACTGGAGTTGGAGTCGACCCTCGCTCAGTGCAGACAGTCAAGTGATTCTAAGTGATGACACTGTGGAGTCTGATGTCACAAAATGTTTAAATGTCATTATTCATCCGTGACATTTATGAGAATATCTATTTTCATTCATGTTGAGATGTTTGAAATGACCACAGATCAAGTTGGAGAATTATTGGGGTATTCAAATTTGTAAAATCTTATTTGAGGATCTGCACAAATTAAAAAAAGAAACTAATCATGTTCGTTTGGACATAGTTCTAAAACTATTCAAGATACGTATAAAGAGTTGATTCACTTCTTAATCCACATTATATCATCTACACATTAGTTTATAACGTATGAAACTTTTAAAACTGCAAGATCCAGATTTTCACTTGATCAAATTGCACCACTCATACAATCAGTCCTCTAAATACCATTCTCTGTTTTTTAATCATGATCCAT